CCCCAAAACCCCAAAACCCCAAAACCCCAGGGTTTATTAATCTCTATTAGATAGCAAGATAATCATTATTAAATATACAATTAAGATAGCTATATGGAGGATAAAGAATTCCTTGATTATTTCAGATAACTAGGACCACCATCTAACCTCGATTAAATTAAGATTGGAGCTTAAAAGATTGTAAATACTCTAGTTGCAATTGGAACTGTCTCAGGTAGAAAAGGATCTACTGATGCCACATCTAAAACTGCAGAAATTGCTGAGAAATCTCTAAAATAAAAGTACTCAACAGGAGATTTAGGAGAAAAGGTATCTGCTGACCTTAATTATGCCTTGAAGAGACTTGTAAGAGGTCTAAATTCAGATAATCATGCAGTCAAGCAAGGTTTCTTCTTAGCCTCAGTAATGGTTTTAAATAAATTCAAACATTTGATTGACTTTGAGAAATATCTTAAGTATGTGTTCAATGAGACCAAGTCTTCTGGGACTATGAAAAGCTCTGAAAACAATAACAACTCTATCGGTAGAATGATGTGCATATCAGCTTGTGTTGAAGCTAGAATATTTATTTCAGGATCAACCGTTTATCAGAAATCACTTAAAGTTATTGCTGGATGTTTGGCTGAGCTTTATTCATAAAATGAGTTTTTATAAGAGTCTGTTGCTGCAATCATCTAAAAGATGCTTCATCTCTTATTAGACTAAAAGTAATTTTTATTACAGACTATCGAAATTTTGATGGAATAACTTATCGTGAGAAAATCTGATGAGAAAGCTAAAGGAGGTGTCGACATTAAGAGTACTATACTAACAGACTCAAACAAAGTTTCACTTTTCTTAAGAATTAAAGAAGCATATCTCTAAGGAATTTCTAATGGAATGGCTGCTGGAGAATATGCTGATGTATTCAATTACAAAATTTTGACTGAAAAAAAAAATTTGAAGACTATTTCATAATTGATTTAGAAGTAAACATACCTATTCCCAAGACTTCATACTAGTCTTCAACTCTTACTTAATGAAATAAATCTGGAATCAAAAGTAAGTGACAAGACAAAGATCACATAGTAAGTAATTATCTCAATACTTGAAGAATCAAACTTCAATGAGGATGTATACTCTCAATTAAGGAGTGTAACAAAGTTTAAATTTTTACATATTGGTCTAAGATTCTGGCAAATGATTGCTTAGAGCATAATGAAATGGGATATAAAACATCAATCAAGAGAATAGCTTCTTGATTTGTTGCTTAGTCAGCCATTCATGAAAGTCCTTGTTAAAAATGTTTAGAATCAAAAGAATTAACTACATGATGCAGCAATTTCAGTGAAAGACACACTTTTCCAATACATCTAAAATTCTAATTTATCAGGAGAGTATGCTCTAAAGCTAGTCAAATAGTTATTTGGCCCAAATAGTCTATTAAGATTCTCCCCTAAAAAGAATTAAGAACTGCTTAAGGCATTAACAACTAAGTTCGAGGAAAAATAAGTATCAGACTATTTTGAGTTCTTAAATTAGTTATATAATGATACTCCAGTAGAAGATCATTACCCAGGTACCTTAAACAATGAATAAAACAAAGCGGAGGATTAAGATGATTCTGATGAAGAAGAGGAAAAACCTTCAGATGAAAACATGAGAAAAGATCTAATCAAGACATTTGCTCTAAACCAACTTGCTAATTATCCTTAAATATTTAGAACCTAACTTATTGCAGAACATGTAACCAAACTTATTGAGGTATTAGCAAGGGCTACTTATTTCAGTCAATAAGGTGATAAGTAAAGTTAAGATATTCAATAGCTAGGGTAGTTTAAGTTATTTGGACTAGTATAAATTCTTCACAAAATTAAGATTGGTACTCTAGATAAAGGAATGAAGAATGAAAAAGATCTTTGGATTTCAGAGATCAACAGCTAAGTCTAAAAGCTTTCTTAGTAATATAAAATCAAATCAGATTTGCTTTCTTATCATGCTGAATGCCAGAAGTTTATAAAGGAATAAGTATCTTCAAAGAGATTATAGCTTCAAAAGTAAATAAAGAAAAATGATGAAGCTAGCATAAAAGCAAAAGCCTAATTTAAGAAATTGATTGCTTTTGAAATGCTATTTTAAAATCTTTCATTGTTAGTATTGATCCCAGGAGAAAAGCAAGTAGCTGATGAAACAAAATAAGATATAGAAGAGATGAAGGTAGTTTTCTAAAAACTTAAAATAACTGAAGATACTCAATAAAATGGGAACAAAAGACATAAAAAAGACTCAAAAATTGACACTTAATAGTCAGAAGCTCTTCAAGTTTTGATTGATTTCTTGATTTCCTTGTTAACAAAGCAGCAAAGTTTCTTAAGAGAAATCGCTAATTTTGCTTTTAAATAGTTTTGCACTTAAATTACTCAAGCTTCTTTAATGAATATGATGGAGATTATAACAACTCCTAATATAGAAGCTAATAAAATGCTTTTTGACTAGGATGATTTAGAAGCAAATGATGAAGAGGCTGAAAATGATGATCAAATAGATGATGATGATGAAGAAGAAGATGAGTCTGACTGATTAATTAATTATTTATTTTCAGAGATTAAACCATTGAATAAATTAAGGCTTATTTGTATTATGGGGTTTTGGGGTTTTGGGGTTTTGGGG